TCGACAAAGGCATCAAGTCCATTCACTGGGGTCGGGACTCTCTCTTCAGCAAAGGGTGCTGGGATAACTGGTTATCCATTTGCAGGAGATTGAAACTAGACCCATATCTCTCACCATGTACTAAAATCAACTCAAAATGGATCAAGGATTTAATTATACACCCCGAAACAATAAAACTTATTAAAGAAAATATAGGAGAAACCCTTCAGCAAATAGGGCTGGGCACAGACTTCATGAATATGACCCCAAAAGCACGGGCAACCAAAGGAAAAATAAACAAATGGGACTATATCAAACTAAAAAGCTTCTGCTTTTAACAGAGCTAAAAGACAACCAACAGAGTGGGAGAAAATATTTGCAAAATACACATCCGACAAAGGACTAATATCCAGAATATATAAGGAACTCAAACAACTTTACAAGAAAAAAACAAGCAACCCAATTAAAAAATGGGCAAAAGAGCTAAGCAGGTATTTCTCTAAGGAAGATATACAAATGGCCAACAGTCATATGAAAAAATGCTCAACATCACTCAGCATCCGGGAAATGCAAATCAATACCCTTAGAAATTTTGAAGTTGGAATCCCATACCAAATAATCATTGGTCAGATTAAAGTAAGTGGCTTAACAGGAATTTAGATGAATATATGGTAGTGCATTTTCCACTACGTAATGATGGACTGAGGTTGGCAGTGACAATGGATGTCACCAACGCCTGGTTTGCTGTCCTGGTCCACGCTCTGGCACTAGCTGGAGGAATCTTCCTGGTTCCTCTCATCACACATGATCATCCCTGGCTTTGCCCAGCATGTACTTAAAAAGCTTCTCCCATGAATGACTCACTTTCAAGTTTATAGAGCCTTCAATGTCACCCCAACCATTTTGCCCAACTTTTGGTCACTGTTGCTCCTGGGGGGCTCCTGACCCCCTTCTACCACCTCCTTATTCTGTAACTGTGGACAGACCCTTCCATCTCAGAAGCTTATTTCTGTTCCACTTCACACCTTCCCTCTCAGTTTCCAACCTTGCCCCTTCCACCTGTCCACACTGGCCCAATCCCCGCCACCTGCTCTGGCTCAGTCCTTGCCATATGGCGAATCTCCTATCTTCAACTTGGTATTATCATCTGGTGTCACTTTACCCTCCACAGCACTGACCTTGACAGCAAGTACAAATTGCAGCTACTTCAATAACCTTAGAGTTATGAGACCATCAGTCTTGCAAATGCATGGCATTGTTCAATAAAGTCACAGGGAATAATAGAAATAAAGTCATAGGTAAGGAGAAAATTATGGTCTGCTAGTAGAAGCAGTGTTCAGTTATCAGTAAGTAACCCATTAGCTTTTATTTATATTTATTTTATCATCTTCAATTACTCAGATGACCGAAAAGTACGTTTTATCCCAGGAGGACTTTGCATAGGAAGTGGAATTGGATATAAATGAGAGGGGCAACTAATCACTTGTTCATAATTTAATATTACTTATTGAGTACCATCTATGTTTTGAGGCCAAATGTTACAGAGAAGAAATGGTTTTATCCCAGCTCTCATGGAGTTTATAATCAGTTGTGAGTAATAGAAACAGACAATAATAATGCTATAGGCCCTTTGCATCATGAATTGCAATGGGCACTGGAAAAAGCACACATGTTATTTTGTTATAACCAAAAATCCCAGAGACTTGGCAACAGACTCCTCAGAACAGGATGCAGAGAGGGTTGCCAGGGTCTGGAGCAGAGGCATCCGAACATTTTTATTTATACCCCCCTTTTTAAAAGCCTTAAGCGCACATCCATTAAACATGTCTACTTATAAATTCTGTCCATGTACCACTGTACTCATGTATGTGTACATTATAAAGTATAACTAAATTAGATATTTAAAAGGATGAGCTTTGAAAAATAAACAGAAGTTCAAATACCCTCTGTCTGTGCCAAAAGAGATCATCTCTGGTACCTCCTGAGTAGACACCCCAACTCTGATACCACCAGTCTAGTCGAGAATAGTTATCACATTTAATTTAATAAGTTCATCCAGAAATTTGGGACAACTCAAAAAGGTATCATGTGATACTCCAAAGGTATCATGTGATAATCCAAACATTTCCAGGATACTGATAAACACCATTTGTACAAGGCATGAGAAGTCCATTCAAGAGACCAAATTAGACTGAAGTTGCTTCATGAGCATAGAGTTAGTACAAATGGAATTGTGGTCTGTAGAGATATTTCATCAAACTAGAATAACTGGTTAAACTACCCTTCTCCTCCCAGGGTATATTTCGGTCTGAAAACCAGTGCCGGACCTCAAATAAATACTGACAAGTTTTACTTTTAGCTTTCCTTTTTCTGGAATCATTTTAGACAACTGCCCTTCTGTTAATACATTACCACCTCAGAAAATAAGAATGTACTTGATTGGAATTTTTAAATGTTAATTACATTCATGTCCTGGGGATGTAGCCTAAAGAGACAGAATTGTTTTGCTTAAGGCTGGAGTATGGCCGGTGGCTTTGATTTCTGCAGGTTCTTGGGTTGTTACAGAGCTCTTACCCAATTAGGGTGAGCGGAAGACTTCTGGCCCTGGGGCAGTCACCTTCAATCCCTCCCAGCGTTGGGACTCTGATGGGTGAGAGGGTTGCAACTTCTTCTGATTTAGGTTTTCTCATAACAGTCCTTCACAATGGGCGGCTGCTACAGGAAAGCCCAAACTTCTCCACTGTATATAGTAACCCAGATGTTGAGCCTGGAGGAGGGCTCAGCCTCCAGTGACAGCAGCCTCAACAGTAGCAAAGAGCCTTTCTTTTTCAGTGTCATCCTACCCAGTATCATCCAATAGTCCTCTTCCCAAGAGGATACTAGCCTATTTTTATTCTACTGAAAATTATGGTTTTGTGGGGGTTTGTTGTTGTTTTGTGTTTTTCTTTTTTTTAAGAAAAATATAACTTAAAACTACACTAAGACTTTTGGGACACCTTAAAAATAGTGGATTCTTCCACCATTCCCCTCACCACTGTTTTCACCTTAATTAAGACATTTGCAGACACATTTTGCACTGACTTACTTGTTATGTATTGCCTGTTAAAATAATTAATAGAAGCACCATAGGCTGAGACAGCTCCAGAGCCTTGGGGTCCCATGTAGCAAATCAAAACCCAATTCAATGTAAACAATAAAATGAAACTTCAGCTTAACCAATCAAAAAGCACCAACTAACCTCTAACTAGGAACTTTCTACGCTAACCAATCCAATATTTTCTTTGTCTTGACTCCACAAACTCCCACCCCAGTGGAGTGCTGAACGACTTATGGTCTGATGCTGCCTGATTCATGAATCATGGAAGGCTCAAATAACTCGTTAAAATTCTTATGTTAATTTTAACATGTCTAAGGTTATCTTTTAACATCCCACACACTTATCCAGATGTCACTATATCCTAAATGTCTCTAAGTACAAAAACAAATAATATGAATTTAATAGTATTCATTAAATAAAATTGTAATATCTCATAATATAGCAATATTATGTTTAATTTAAAATTATGCTTAAGCATGGCAGTACCAACACAGTTACTTCTGTTTAAAGATAGTGGTTGAAGTCGATATTGTGTATGTGTATAATTTGCATAAAGGAAACAAAAATATATAGATTATATGTGAATAGAAACTAGTGGAGTAAACTTAGTTGATTCATGTATTCTCTAGAGGAAAGATACAGCAAATATCATTATTAAATATATAATATATAGTTGGGTTTAGTATTAAAGCTAAAAGCCTTAGTAACTGCTTTAAAACACACCCATGAATTTCAGTCTTTAGCTGCAGTAGTAAACGTGCTCAGAAGTGTACACATGAAAAAGGGGTTTGTCCCCTGGACATGAAGTTGAGAGCCAACTCTTTGTCTCATATTAAATTCTTGGTTCGTCTGTTCTAATGGAATTGGAGTAATCCAGTTTGGTATTTTTATTTAGTCCTGTAAACTACTTTTCTCCAGGGAACACTGGCTCCTCTATCAGACAATAAGTGGGGAAGGGCAGCAGGTACAATTGTGCCTTCCCCAAGAGCTCAGAGGCCTAGGCTTATTGAGAGCCCTCAGGCAGGCTCAGCTCATCACCCCCCACCCTAAGAAATAACCCAGGGGGAAACTGGTTAAGGGGGAGACACTCCCTTAATGGCAACTCACCTCTAGGGGTTTGATGCAAGAGAGGTGAGGAAGCCACTGCCCTTGCCCCTCCTGGTTGATTCTGCCTTGTTCTGAGCTCCTCCCTTCCACACCTGCACCAGGTATTGGAGCAGCTGCTGACCCAGAGTAGGCACTGGTTATTCCAAGGCAAAGGTGGATGAGAAGCAAGAGCAGAATGCCAAAACTTTGTTCCTGTTTTATCATGCTTAGGTCTAGCCCAGATGCTTCTTGTACCAAATGACAGCCAGAAGTTCAAATGCAGGAGTTCAAAACAGCCCCCACCCACCCACCTGTAACACCAGGGGCTTCTCTCCATTTTCACCTTTTTGGCATTTACTCCCTAGCGTACCCCCAGGACTGTTCTTGGTAGGAACCCCAACTATCAGTCTTTAATAAAATATTTTATATACATAAAATAAATATTTTTATTTCAATGTGTTTTATGTAAATTTTGCATATTAATGTTTAAAATATTTATATGCCCAAATAAATAATACATACATACATAAATAAAATATTTTATATACACACACATATAACTTTTGGAAAGTCAAAGATATGTTTGTGGGGATTTGGTGCAATGGGTTCAACAGGATAAAAAGAAATGGGCTGTTGCTGATGAAGGTTTATTAATCTTGAGAATCAGATTCAATATAATCAAGGTGTAAACTAACCTGCTTTGTGTTTGGTTTGTTCTCACAGGGAATTATTGGAATGCAGCCTCGTTCCCAAACCCATCATCCTACCTGCACTTCTCCACTTTCCAAGGGGAAACCAGCGCTGACATTTCCTTCTACTTCAAAACATTAACCCCCCGAGGAGTGTTCCTTGAAAATATGGGGAATGAAGATTTCATCAAGCTTGAGCTGAAATGTGAGTACAAGTTCTTTGTCAGCTCATGAGTCGTCTCCTTTTGTCACCTTAGGCTGGTCCTAGCCTTGATTAGGTAGCTCCATCTGACTCAAACATGGATGGTTTCCTTTGTTCCAGAAATAGGACTAGAAGGTAATACACAAGTTCAAGTTTGAGTTCTGGCCAGGGTCCCTGTCCTTGGGGATGCTGTCAAGGAATCAGGCTCATGCAGAGATTCCCGAACACCGCTATCGAGGGAGGCGAGAGAGAACATACTGCCCTCACAGTGTGGGAGAAGGACGTCTATTCAAGGCTTCTTGTTGTGTGTGATTGTTTTCCAAAGAGACGGGGTCAAGAGGAGACAGGAATGTGTAAAATGGCCAGAGGAACAGGGCACGGGGGTAATAACATGAATGAAAACAAGAGTAATAAATACTAGTCACATCTGCGTGAGTTCAGGAAGCTATGGAGACCACAATACCATGTCATCCCATGAAACGATGAGTCTGCGACTTTCCAAAAGAGGCCCCCACGACACACACACACACACACACACACTCACACACACACACACACAAACACACCCTCAAAAGGGTAAGTTCTGAATGCATTTAGCCACAGACACAGAAACTAGCAGAGCAGATGCTGCTTGGCTCAGCTCAGCTGCCTTGGATCCCAGGACACTTGTGAGGCCTCGTGGTTGGACACCCACCATCTGTGGAAAGCAAGGGTCCAGGGCATCTGAGAAAGGCAATCGTTGTCTCACCAGCACCCTTTTATCCTCAGGATCTAAGTTCTTTAGGAATTTATGCTCCACAGACTTACAGGTTAGGTGAATATTTGCAAACGCCAGGCTCTCCTGGCTGTTGACACAAAGTCAGAGTCAGCAAGACCATAGACTCAGCCAGGACGGAGAGACCAATTGGTGTCCCTAGGTCCCTCCATGAAATCTCAGCTTCCCACTCAGCATGTGAGCAAGTCCCCCCCACACACCTCACCCCAAGTCCGTCCCCTTTATCTGAATGCTTACATTACTGGGTCTGGTTCGAGAATGATCCCAAATCCATTTCCCAGTAGTATCTGATAGAATATTTTTCTCTTTTTTATAGTAATAATTATTCAATATGGTCTTTAAAAAGGGGAATGTCAGATAAACATCTTTCTGCTGAAATTCTCCCATTAGATTCTTTTTTAATGGTAAACTGTGATATAGCAGAAAGTGCACAGACTTTGGAGATAGCATTCTTAGATTCATATCTAAATCCTTGGGTAAATTGCTTAATCTTTTTGAAGCTCAACTTCCTGATCTGTAAAATGGGGATATTAATTTGTGGGGGTCGTTATGACGACAGAATGTGGATATTCATGAAGCATTTATTTCAGTGTCTAGTAGCTGCTGCCATTAGCATCTTCCCGAGGATTCTCATTGCAGATCTGATCTGAGCCAGATGTGATTGAAAAGAAAACTAAGGATATTCTGTCCCTAGAATTAATATTAATTAAGTAAAACTCTCTCTTTACTGAATTATGGATTAAAATTATTAAAGAGGGATTTTTCATTTCCCTCACTTAAAATTAATCAAATCAAACTATTTTCTGACTTCTACATTAATCGGATCATATTTTAGGAATATCTCACTGTCAAAAAAGAAAACTGACAATTCCACGTGTGGGTAATTCTCTAAGTTTCTATAAAATTATTTGGACTTCTGCTGCCTTTGTTTGATATCCTCACGTCTCGTAAAACCACGCCTGAGTGGAAAGAGAGACGACCCAAGTAGACAGAGCAGGGGCGCAGGTGTTTTTGCATCAAACAATTTCACTTACTTCTGATCATGAAAAATCTTCAGAAATGTTTTCAAAGTTTTCTAGGTCTTTCCACAACATGAGAATTCTGTGACAGAGGGTGAATTGTCACTTTGCTTTCTCATATAGCATCCTTTTTCTTTTGTCATGTAGTTAACTTTGGGCAAAGATATGTGGGGCGTTAAAGGCACTGATTGAAAGCTGGTCTCTCCCCAGGGTCCCCTGGACCTGCTAATAGACCATAAAGGGTGGGAATAGCTTTTTAGGATCCCCCAAATGGCAGACATCAGGCGTTCATCATTAAAAGAGACATAGGGGCATGGAGGATGGGGAGTGGGAGTGGCAGATTTCAGTATCTGAGAAAAACTTCTTCAAAGCAAACAGGAAGTGGAAAAGTGGCCATGACCAAGGCTTTCTGCCATCTTGATTGTTGCTTTGCGTTGCTTTGCCCTCCACGGATTTATCACCCCTCTTCCCCTGGGTGACAGAGATGCAAAGGATTACTCAAAGCTCATCTCTTCTGAGCAGTGAGAGACCCCAAAGTGGTTAATCTTCCTGGGACCCTCCAGTGAGAAGCAGCCCTTCCTTGGGCAATTAACCCAGAATTGGGGTTCTCTTCCTGCATTTATTTTCCAGACCAGGAAGTTACAGGAAGACAACATAAGTGGGGTTATAGTTTAACAGTATAGGCTGGTAACTTTCAGTGAAACAAGCCAGATGACATTCCAGTAAGGCAATTAAGTGGTCCTATCAACAACAGCTTGGTCTTAGCAAACATTCCTTCTCTCCCCAGCAATTTTCCAGTATCTTTATATAACAATCAGTAACTAGTCTGTCCTTGAGCCAGCAACCTGCTGTGCCACAAATCTTTATCTTACACCAGAGACTTTATAGCCTGAGGGAAATTTCCAGTCCTCTGCAAGGTCAATATTTGAAACTACAAGGCTTTGGAAAACTGGGCCCTGTGAGGTACACATGCTCTATAGTATATTCCACATGATCACATTTTTTCAAGCAGACCTTCCCTGTCAGGATTTCCAGGAGAATTCTAGAGAACCCATTCCTCCCTTCTTTCAGTGAGTCACTCTGCAAACCTGTTTTCACAGCTGCGGCTGGCTACCAGCGGGATCTTGGGAAAAGTGGTTTCTGAAGTCAAACCTTTGTAAAACAGTCTCTACCTTTTTTCGTTAGTTTGTTAGGCTTTCTGATCTCTTTCTGATATCAGATTTTGTTTCCCTGCATGTCTCTTAAAGGAATTTTGTCATGGTTCATGCCTACATACTGCTTTCCAGAATAACAGTTCCATTAATTAACTACATGGTGCCCTTCTGTCAAGAGTGGAAGATTCTTGACTCCAAGAACAGTGAGTCAGTGCACAGTTAGTTAATGAGATGCCATCAACATCTTATGGGCAAGTAGAATGACACACGAGATAAAATTAGGGCAATGTTACTCATTAGCATACTTTAAAGGTAAAATTTTAACTCTGTAATTCACTTATTTACTATTCAAATTTATTCATTCATTCAATGAGTATGTAGTGAGTACCTTTTGTGTCCCAGTTACTGTGCTCGGCGCTGAGAGAACATATCAAATCAGGCGTGGGTTCTCTCCCTCAGAAGTCTTTCTGTTTGTTTTAGAAAGAAGGCAAGTGTATCAGTAGTTGTGATAATAATGAAAATAGTTCAGCATTATTTGGATTTATTATTTCTCAGACTTTGTTCCAGGCATTTTCCATAGAACATCTCACCCACTCTCCTGACCACCCTCTACGGTGGGTACTGCCACTCAGATCTCTGTTTTACAAACGTGGAAACTGAGGCACAGGGCGAGTAAGTTGCCTGGCCAAGGCCACACAGGTAGGAAGTGGCAGAGCTGATGTTTGACCCCAAAGACTTTTTGTCTGTCCCAGAGTCATTGTCTTTCATGTTAAAGCATACCGCCTCCCATGACAGACCTCAAGAGAGTGTTTGAGACACGTAGGGGGATGTTTAAACCTGACTGAGTGACAAGGAGCACTTCCCAGGGAATGTAACGCTTTAATTAAAATTTGATGGATGAGCAGGAGTCAGTCAGGGAAAGACGATCCAGGATAACAACAAAGGTGTGAAGGTATTGGGAACCGAAAGGACTCAGGAGGGGACAGGGGCAGCAGGGACCCTAGTGCCTTGGGGAGGGGCAGAGCTGGAGCTAGAAAGGCAGGGTCGGAGCACTCAGAGCACCATGCGGGGAGGAGCTGGCCTGACGTGACCCTGAAAGTTATGGGGAGCCAGGCTTAACATGGTCAGATCTGTGTCCACCAGAGAAAAGATTGAAAGCCAGACAAGAAGCAGCAGGGGCCTGCACGAAGATAGCGGTGGAATAAATGGAAAGAAGGGAGACAGCAATGAAGGGTTAGAGACATGAAAGGACCTTAAGACATGAGTCCACGGATACTTAACAAAATAGTCTTGAGGGTTACGTGGAAGGAAGGGCCCTCTAATGAAGATGGTGTTTGTGGTTTTGATCACTGTTGGAGGCACCTTTCACCTAGGAGTATGGCATGGGGAGTACAAATACAGATTACATTCTGGATATTTTGAGTTTGAGCACCTGTGAGGTACAGGAGTCTCTATCCAAGTGGGTGTATCTAGAGGGTCAAGTCTGGAGCCCAACAGAGAGGTCTGAGTTACAAATACAGATTGAGAGTCATCGTACTTAGAGACTCATCAGGAAACAAGTATTCAGTGCCCTCAGCGTGGACGAGATCACCCAAAACAAATGTGTTGAGAGAGGAAACAAGATGTCCAGGAATGAAAACCACATTCAGGGGATAGGAGAAGGAAAGACAGCTCGTAGAATACTGACACAGAAGTAAGATGACAGTGGTATCCCAGAGACCACATGAAAAAGGAAGTTCAAGAAGAATAAAAGAGTGTTAGATACTGATGAGAGGCCGCTAAAACAAGGACACAAAGTGACTGTCAGGTTTAGCATGTAGAGTCACTGCCAGAGTTAGGCAGTCACTGGGAGGAGTGCAAGTGGGGTTGGAGGTTGAGGGAGTGTGGTTTTGTGTATTGTTCTTGTTCTAAGATGGTAGAGACTTGAACGTGCATATACGTGAAGGAGAAAAACCTGGCAGAGAAGGAGACACTGGAGAAACAGGAGAGAAAGGGACCAGATGAAGGAGGGAGTCCCCAGGGAGGCAGGACTGAGCAAGACACAGCATTATCACA